CAAACTCCAGAGTTCTTTCTCTTCTTACTTGGATGTTGATTTCAGAATGGCTGGTCTTTCTTTCTGACTCATGAAGGCTGCTCTACTTTGAATCTGAAACATTAGGGGAAAGTGAAACTATAAAACGCATGATGCATGATTAGCTCTTATTACATTTTACTTTCTGTACGTATTTCCCTCCCTGCCATCTCAGCACCATCCGAGCCTCCATCACCGTCCCCTGGACAGTGCTGCAGCCCTCTGCCCATTCCACCTGAGGCCGCTCCCTCCGAGCCGCCTGCCAACCCACACTCCGGCCCCACAGCAGCCAGGGGTCTGCTCTGTAGCCCCGGCACTCAGCCATCTCGGCCACGCTCACCCTCACAGCTTTAACCACCAGTTCTGTGAGTGTCGTCAGGCCCGTCGCCCCATTAAGATGTAGCTTCCTAGAGGCAGGGACCACGTCTGCCTTAGGTAGGTCATGTCCCTGAACCCTGGCTGGCACAGTGGCCATGTTTTTTCAGTAGATGGGGTTAATACTGTAGTAGCTTACCTCCTTTAAGACACTGTGACGAGTAAAAGGAGAGCCTATATTTTTATGAAATAACAGAAAAACCGTGGCTTTGTAGAGTCAGGAGTACTTCGAGAAGTCATTTCACAATCTGCGTTGTCTGCGCTGGGCGAGTTAGAGGCCTCGGAGCTCCCCTCGACCCTCCCAGGACTGTGACATGGAGCTGTGGGATGTGCTGTGAGCTGTGGCAATGAGCCAAATGTGCCTGCTGAGCGGGGCAGGGAGGCTAGAGAGGTTCCTGGGGTGATGCGGGGAGCCCTGGAATTCTCGGTGGAGGGGGATGGTGGTTGTGCAGTGTGGGTGCTGCCAGCATCCTCTCCCTGCCCTCTCTCAGCCTGGCCCCGGGACCACCTTCCCACCCTCCCGTACCTCCACACCCACCCTGTTCTCTCCTCTGACTGTGGCCCCCAAACCAAAGCAGGCCTGGCTCTGCTGCAGGTCCAGAGCATTCTGTACCCACAGAGCATGCGGATGGTTTCAGCCAGCTGCCAACACAAAGGAAGGTGGCTAATTAGTTTGTTAATTTATGGTAAGGTGGCATGTGTCCCTTAAAGGAGAGGCTTATTTTAAGCGCCTTTAAACCTCTCACAGGAATTATGCTTTGGGGCTGGGTAAACTTGCCAGGCACCTTGTAAAGGTAAGAGTTAGCATTAATGTTTACAGGTGGGAAAAACCTGGGCTCCAACTTTTATCTTGTGACAGGCTATGTGAAGTATGCAGAACATAGTGTTTCTCTACCCAAGATCTCAATCCTGGACGACCCACAGGGTACAATGCTAAGAACATGAGCCCCAGGATTGTCTTAATGCCTTTTACCTGCTGTGGGGGTGGGGAGGGGCTCCTTCGGAAAGAGAGGGAGGGAACCCCACGGGAGCAGCTGTTCCAGGACCTGTTCCAGGACGAGTTGCAAGGCTGCAAGCAGGTCAGTGCGCTCAGTCGCTTCTCCTCCCGTCCCGTTTCCTGGTTGGGTGTGTTCTTGTTCTACAGTTGCTTGCTTCACCCTGGAATAAGCAGGCTGTTTTTCATCGCTGCTCTGAGTTGAGAGTTTGCTTTGTTAGTTAAAAAAAAAAATAAAAAGGTAAATTAGAGAAATTATTCTGTACACTCTTATAGAAAGTGAAATGTCAAAGGCTGGCGTTTGGAAACAGTAATGCCAAGCAGAGTTCCAGCCAGAACCTGCGTGTTTTCAATGAGGAGTCCAGTAGAAACTGCAAACGAAAACGAGGACTTGCGCCTGGCAGTGTCCTCGGCCCTGCGGCTGCTGGCGGAGCAGGCAGCTGCTTGCCCGTAAGCTGGGACTTGTGCTGAGACTTTTAGATGCGTGCAGCTCTGCAGGGTTGGCTTCTTTACCCTCTTGGAGTAGAATGTGGGTGTGTCTTTTAAGGGAGTTGGGTGTCACCTCACCTGGTAGAGGTGTGCCCACTTCCTCCTTAGCCTTCCCCAGCTCCCTCGGCCACTGGCTCCTCGTCCTGCACCACCATTCCGCTCCGGAGGGCTACCCTCTGCCCAGCTGGTATTTCTCAGTGAAAAGTCACAGCCCTAGTTGCAGCCTTACTGTGAAGCCTCATTAAATCCTGCCATTTTATAATGATTAGGTCATGGAAGGAAGTTTTTGTTTCCCAAACACAGGCTTAGGCCTCACTCAGCTCAGAGTGCCTCTGCCCTCTCTTTAGGCCTGGACACTCAGTCCAGCCTCCTGTCACTGCTCCCCTTCTTCCCCCACTGTGGGCTCCTGTCCCCCTGGGCAGTGTCCCAACTGTGCAGACTTCCCAAATTCTTCCTTGGTCCCCATCCCCATCTAAGGAAGCACTAGTGAGACACTGTCCCATGACCCCCTGCCTCCTGACCCCTTACTGTTCTCCAGGCAAAGCCAAAGGACCCCATGGGCTAACTTCCAGAAAAATGTTGCTTCAGCTACTGGTGAAACAGCCACATGTCCTACAAAGAGGCCAAGGTCTAGAAAGAAAGAGATGGAGCTTCCGTGACACTGAATCAAGGGGCTTTTCCCCAGCCCCCCAAATGTATGAAAACAGCCAAACCATGACATTGGCACATCACCAAGCTCAGGAATTATTCGTTAGCTCACTGCTACCTCACACTCAGAAGGTCAGATAAGAAAGATCAGATGGGACAGGGCTCATGTCCATCTCCCTGGCGACAAGAGGCTGAGGCCTCAGGTCAGATGGCAGGCGCAAGGCCACACGACCCACAAGCTGGGAATTGCACTCAGAGTTGGGACTCAGCAGAAGAAGAAAAGGATGTTTATCGAGTGCCAACAGAATGCTGAGCAGCACGAGATACACAAAGGTGACCCAGGCCTACAAAGCCTGGGACGAGGGGATGGGACAGAGGAGGGAAGGGCAGGGGAGCCAGATGTAACTGTGGCACCCATGCCAGTGGTCAGGGGAAGAGGCAGCTGCTGGGCACAGAGGCAACATGAATGGAGATCCCGGACGGGGCACAGGGGAATTGGCGCTGTGCTGGGTCTCAAAATCTGAAGCTGATCTGGAGAACCAGAGGAAGGGGGAGGCACTCTTGGGACAAACTGCATGTCCCTTTGTGGGGATCGACAGGCCTTAGTCAGTTAAAGCAGTGACTGAGTGACCACCCCCTCCTACAGTTCATGGCTTACGTTAAAAGCCCATATGAATTTAACACTTGAATCTTTGTCCTATTTAATGAGGACTTAATGAGGCTTCACAGTAAGGCTGCAAATGTTTTTCCAAAGACCTCGCAGAGGCAACTCTGACACTCGATCAAACACACCAAATGTTAGAAAGCTTGGGCCGAGAGCACCTCTAGAGAGAGAGGGGACCAGGGTCCAGGCGTTAGGACCTGGAAAACTGACCACACTGTGACTGACACAGGTGCCAGGGGCCTTGGCACCTCATGTGCTTGTGTTGCTAATGAGGAAATTAAAAAAATACAAAACAGAAATACAGAAAATACAGAATAAAACAAATTCAGAAGTCTTAGGCTCACACATGCATAAGCAAAAAGAGAACTTTCTCAGTGGTATCTACGCTAGCAGCTGGGCGTGACTGAGACGCAGCTGCCGGCACGCTGCACTAACGTCACTTCACGTCACTTCACAGGTCGGCACCAGCAACGAAGGAGACCCCGATGATGCACACTTGGGGAGGCCACACTTGCAGCAAGGAACCGGACTAAGACTTAACACCGGCCGGGTAGCAAGACTCATGATCTCTCTTCTTTCTCCTCTCTCTCTCTCTCTCTGTCCTTGTCTCGACTTATATAACAAGCGTGTACTACATTTATAGAGTGGTGAGGTTGGGTTTCTTGTTTTGTAAAACAGCCAGAATTAAGACTGCTTTCTCGACTAATCATTTCCCTCTATTGACCTTCCCCACTTCTCACTGAATTAGCGTTTGACCTACTTGTGAAGTGCTGGCTTTAAAAATATACAGCTACCCTAAAGGAAAATGCTAGAGGTGGCTCTTGAATATTTAATGGGAGTGAGCACACCACCCCCCTCCAGTCCACACACTAGGGAGTGGGGAGTGAGGGGAGGCTCACTGATGCCCAGGCCGGCTGAATCCCACTCCAAGTGGGCACAACACCCAGGCAAAGCCACTGGTATCCAGCCCTGTTCCTGGACCTAAGGGCTGTGGGGTGTGGGGAGGGAGCTGCCAGGTCACAGAGATGATGCCCTGGCCACAACCAGAGGGAGCATGATGCCCACAGTCATTTATCAGGAGGAGCCAGTGGGCAAGGGCAGGGCCTTTGAACTCCTAGGAAACCCCTGACCTGTGGTCCCAAAATGGAGGCAGAGAAGACAACCCTGACTGGGAACAACCAAGTGGGCCCCACACCACACTCCTCTAATCCCACCTAGCATCTTCAACCCATGTGCTCTGGGATGACCAGTAAGGCACCCGGGCCACTCAATAAACAGCCCCCGAGACCAAGGGTCTCCCAGCCAACACTGTGCCTAGAAGTAAAACCCAGCCCTCAAGTTAAAGGCAGAATGCACGGGTACACTGGAGCTGGCCTTGAAAATGACAATTTTTAGGAACAAGGGTCGAGAATGCCAGGCTCTTGTGTGAGATTCTAAATGGAAAATAATTCTGTGGACATGTCTCACTCCAGCTCCATGAGTTCTTTACAGAGCATCTGCACTTGGCTCCTTTCAGTCATCTGCATTTCCAGAAACACACTAGGAAGTGGACACAGACACTACTTTGTTGCAACAGAAAATGAATGGCCGCTGGAGAACTGAAATTAAGAGGGCCGAGTGTCCTGAACTAAATGCGAGATATATTCTCTGTCAAATTTCCCCCATCTCAATGAAATGCAAAAGCATAGAATTTTCTGTGCACAAACATTTGCAATCAACCTAATTCAAAATACTTAGATTTTACTCTGAAGTTAACTATTTTAACTGTTTCAAATTGACACATAAAACCTTCACTTCTGCATTCTTTTCTGCTTTGTTTCTTACAGTTTCTCAAAGCCTTGACCCAGAGCACATCAATTATAAACAAGGAAATGGACTTCTTGGAGGCACCAGACTCACCGAACAGGGCTAGACCCCAAACAGCACTAAACTGATGCACCACCTGGTTCTGACAGTTTTCTTTACACGAGACCCCACAATGCCCTCTGTGCACCCAGAAATCTGAAACCCTCCAGCACACACAGGCAATAAAGGAAAGGTGAGGGCTCTGGGTGGAGAGGGGGGTGGATATGTCAGGCCTTGACTCTCAGTGCTGCCTCTGGCCACCTCCCCTGGAAACAAACCCCCTCAGCCCGCAGGGCCCTGACCCATAGGCTGCCTTCCTAGCCTCAGGGCCGCCCTTCAGTGGTGCTTAAAAACAGAATTTAGGATGACACACAGGACTCAAATGAGGCTCATCAGAAGCAAAGGCCCCCACCCGTGAGGCTCCTGAGGCTTCAATGCAACAAATATGCCTCAGGTTCAACTGAGGAGGTGTGGGGGCAGGGGGAGTCCCACCAAGCTTCATGAATAGTGGAGATGGTTCACAGAACCCTGTTCAGGTTGGCATGACTGGGCCCACTTAGAGAAGGCCATCGCAAGAGGAAGGACAGTCGTAAGCAGGACGTTACGGTTGACCTGCCCGCCCTAGTGCCAGCTCCCCAGGGAACACTGCTATGAATATGTATGTCACAAGGCAAGGAAACATCCACCTGCCCGGATTTCTCAGGTACTTCCTTCCCTAGAGACATTCCAGGTACAGAACACCTGCACATAAATCCCCTACAGGTGCCACATTACTTACTTTGGAGGTGTGAGTGTCCATGTTTGTCATAACATTTCTGGCATTGGGAAATCAACTAGAGATGAAAACAGGCAGGCACCATGACCCCTGGGGCAGAAGCACCAGTCGGAAAGACCCGGGGTCCCTGGCTGTAAATGCCCTGTGGTGGCTCTGCCAGCCTGGGGGCAAAGCCTTCTCAGGGCCAGAGTCTCCAGTCCTCTGGGCACTAGGCGCTCAGTGCCCACATGCCAGACACTGCAGACAGGACACCAGCAAAGGGCTCACCCCTCGCCCGC